GGTACCAAGTGAGGGCTCAGCTGCCCACTCCCACTGTCCACCAGGCGATCCCTCCCCCCGAGAGCTGGTCTCTGGGGAGTGGAACCTGGCTGGGTGGGCCTGACCTTGGGGATGACCCTTGCCTTTCCTCCTCCCCCAGGGCATTGGGCACAGCTGGGTCAGAGAGAGGGCTGGGCTCTGACTTCAGCTCAGAAGAGCCCCCGCCCACACCCCTGCTGAAGGGCAGGGAGACCACAGACCCTTCGCACCCTCCAGGGTGCTTTCAAGGCCTCATCTAGGTGCATCACCCCCACAGTGAACTCTGGGTGACCCCTGACCTCAGGTCCCCATTTAGCATAACAACGCCTGAGCCGCTAGGGCCTGAGCAGGACAACAGAGCTGACACCACTTTACAAACTGGCCAGCCCTCTCCCCTCCAGGGACCTCAGCCACACAGGTGGTGGGGATGCCCAGAGACCCACAGAGACACACGCCAGCATGGGCAGCCACTCATCGCACACCAACCTCTTACCTCGCCAAGCATCGCCTCCCTCTTTTCCTACTTGATTTTTTACACAATGATGTATTTAGTTAGTTAGTTAGTTAGTTATTTTTGAGAGAGAGAGGAAGGGAGAGTGAGAGGAAGAAACATCGATGAGAGAGAAACATTAGCACCGATTGGCAGCCTCCTGCACACGCCCTACTGGGATCGAGCCTACAACCCAGGCGTGTGCCCTGACCTGGAATCAAACCAGTGACCTCTCAGTGCACAGGAAGACGCCCAACCAACTGAGCCACACCAGCCAGGGCACCTACTTGATGTGTTTGAAGGCACCTATGTGCTGTTCTGGGTACACAGAGATAGATGCAGTCCTTGTTCTCAGAGAGGGCACCGTCTTGGCCAGAAAAGCCTGACGGGAGAGTAAACGCTGTCTTGGGGCCTTGCAGGTGCGGGGAGCAGGGAGGCAGGGGAGAGGCCTGGGGTTGCTGTTGCGCAGCCGTGACCTGGGTGGGTCTTGAAGCCTGAGCAGGAGGCTATGAGGAGGCGGCTTCCTACACTTCTCCTTGGAAAGTGCTGGCTCACAGCACAGCCTGCTCAGCCAAGGCCCCCTCCTCAGGGCCCAGGCCTCCAGGAAGGGGGAGTGAGAGGGAAGCCAGTGGGTTTAGGAGACGAGGGGGGGGGGGAGCTGCAGGTCTTGCTTCCGCATGGGGCAGCCTCAGCAAAGTCAAACCAGCAGCCCATTCTGGTCCACCCTGCGCGGCCCCCAGACTGGAGCCAAATGGATGGGAGAGGCCAACGCCCAGGGAGCCTCCCTGCCCCGATGCTGTCAGTCAAACATATTTGGGGAGGAGGAAGGATTTCAGCAGCCGGGATTGGGGTTCGGGGGAGAAGAAGTCCTTAGTGAGGGTGCTCGGACGGCTTCTCAGAAGGCCTGGGCTGCCTCAGCTGAAGGCAGTGATTAGCAGATCCAAGCCGGGGAATTCAATAAGCCGGCTGCTCGTTACCCAGCTGGGGACCCCCTGCCCGAGCAGCCGTGGCCTGGGTTACATTACAGGGCTGTGTGAACTCTCCCCTCCAAGTGAGACGGCACCGGGCCTTGGAATAATTACGGGGCCTCAGCAGATGGTGGAGGCGGACGGACGGGGGAGGCCTTCAGCTGTGGGACACGTGACCACCGGCATCTGTGCAGAGCGGGACATGGGAGGGTCCACGCTGGGCCCCGGGGGAGGCAGTGCTGAGTCGAGATCTGAGAGTTACGGGGTTGGCCGTGGTGGGGCACGACCCAGGGCCTTGGGCCTCCTTTAGACGCTGGCCTGAGCCAGGGGGGCATGCTGGGCGGGGCGGGGTGGGGGGGTAGTCTCTGGAAGCTGGAGAACAGTGTCTGAATGGATCTCTGTGTTATGAAGCAAGAACAGGAGACACAACCGGTTCAACACATTTCAGGGCCCCTTCAAGCCTCTAACGCCTCCTCGGAAAGGTGGGCATCAAGGCATCGCTGGATTTCAGCCCCGTGCCAGCCCCGCACCCACTTGGGAAGCTCCGTGGTGCTTGGGTTGAGCTCCGTGCCAGGAGTCAGGACCCCGGGTTCTCACTGTGGTCTGCCACCAGCCCACCGCGCGACCACCTCTACGCCCCCATCCGAGGCCCCTTTCAGCTCCCCCCTCTGTGGCCCCATGTCCTGGTTCCTCCAGCTTTGCCTTGGTGGAATCTGCTCTAAGCAGCCCCAAGCAGCTCTCAGCCAAGACAAACACAGGAGAGACGAAGCTAGAAGGGGATGCGGGCCGTGTCCGCGCCACAGCTCTGCTCTGCTGGGTGGGAGCAAGGCCCTGTTTCCACTGTTCCCAGGCCTGGGGTTCAGCAGGAACGCTGCAAGTAGGGGGATGTCCTCCCTCCAGCTCAGGCCTCCCCCTCCTAAAAGCCTCCCTCCACTACTCAACTCTCTCTGCCCTCCTGTTCTCTTCCTTGGGGGAGAGAGATGAGAAGGACTCAGGCTCTTGGGTCTCCCTGCTTCCTCGCACTCTGCTGAGCAAAGGGACACGAATTCTCCAAAAACAAACGCACCCCTCATGCCCCTTTCAGCAGCACCAAGTGCACAACGATGGGGGGGGGGGTGAGAAACAGGCCTCCCCTGACTGACAGTTACTTCAGGTCTCCCCACCCTTCAACATGAAGCCAGAGGCATCTACCCTGGATCACCACGACCTCCTGCCTCGGTTTACTTCTCCAGTAACTTCTACACTATCTTCTGCTCCTCTCTCTCTCAAGCTCTGGAAGCCACCATCTTGCTCTTTCGGATCTTTAATAGCTGCACACACTTTTTTGTTGTTAATCCTCATGGGAGGATTTTTTCCCCCGATATTTATTTTTTTTTTTGGGAGAGAGATGGAAACATCAATGATGAGAGAGAATATTGACTGGCTACCTCTTGCACGCCCCCTGCTGGGGATCAGGCCCGAAACCCTGGCATGTGCCCTTGACGGGAATTGAACCTGGGACCCTTTAGTCTGCAGGCTGACGCTCTATCCACTGAGCCAAACTGGCTAGGGCTCCCATTGATGTTTAGAGAGAGTGGGGGAGAAGGAGGGAAGGAGGAGGGAGGGAGGAAGAGAAAGAAACATCCATGTGCGAGAGACATGGATGGTGGC